GCAGAGTCATTAGGGCGGGATGGCCAATGGCATGCAGGATGTCATGGTTGCGTTGGATCACCATTTCGTCCTCCCTCTCCATGTCGTCGAGGTTCACGATGAGCCTCGTGGCCTTCTTCTTCTTCTTCTTGGCAGTGTTCAATTTTATATTCGTGACTAACCACCGACGACCACGGCCATCGGGGAAGAGAAAATATGGTTTTACGGGCTACTAACCAAAAGTTATGAATTTTGAGCCCAAGCGCGATGTCAGGTGGCAAGGGACCCTAGGATCTGGCTGCAGGAGATGTGTCGCAGGGGTAGTGGAAACGTTGGGAAAGCAGGGGAAGAGCGCTAGTAGAAGTGGCAGATGGAATTGGAGGCAGAAGGTCCTTGAAGCCTAGAACTTGAGGGCCCTAGACTTCAGGATGGGGCAGCTTGAGGCTCTCGCCTCGTGCTTGTCAGGAAGGCCCTTGGAGCAGCAGTTGGCACATTTGGAGGTGCGCTGGTCAGCAATGGATGGGCAGGCGCGGCCTTCATGGCCGTCTTGACCGCAGTGGAAGCACTTAGGAGCTCTGGAGCATTGGGCAGAGTTGTGGCCGAAGCCACAACAGCGGAAGCAGACGCGGGCGCGGATGGACTCCTCGAAGTTGAGGATTACTCCATCAACCACGATTCTCCCGCGAACGCCCAGGGCTCTAAAGGTCTTGAGGTCCACCTCGATGAAGGCGGTGCAGGTCCCGCTTCTGGGTGCAGAACGGTGCGCCAAGCGCACCACCTTGTCCCCAGGAAGTTTCCTAACAGCAGCGGTTTCCAGGAAGGTCTTCTCAATTGTGGAGTTGGATGTCTCCTCATCCACTTTGAATAGGCAGATCCGTGGCAGGATCTCCTTCTGCTGGCGGACCTTCATTCCAATCAACTTGCTGGCCAGAGAGGTTGTCACCTCAGGGATGGTGTCAGGATTACTGGAGTGGAGAACCAGCTTCCCCTTGGTGTGCAGGGAGGCCCAAACGCCTTGGGGGAGAGTGTGGGCAGCGCGGACAGCTTTTAGCATCTCCCTTGGGTCAGCCTGTGGATCATCAGAGATGACCACTGTGTGGGCCGCCGATTTTTCTCCATGGAGGATCACTTGGGCGGCCGCAGGCTTGGATACGCGGGAAGGCGCAGGTTTTGAAGGACCATTCAGGTTTGTCCTCTTTGCAGTCGGGTTGGGAGCCTCAGACTGCTTCCTTTTGGTTGGAGCAGGAGCAGGCAAGGTGGAGGCAGGCTTCTTGGCAGGGAGAGCAGCAGGAGCAGGAGTGGCGGGCTTGATTGGGTCAGTCTGGGAGCTGGTTTCCTTGCAGGAAGGAACAGGGCAGGTTTGAGTGCCGCGGCAAGCAGTCTTGGGCTTGTTGGCCTCCTCAATTTCGTCCAACTCTGCGAAGGACTCGAGGGTGTCAGTGAGGTTCTCTACTTCGGTAGCGAGGGCCTTGATCATTTCAGTCCGCGAGGCTATGTAGCGGATCAGGTCCTCATGCAGGGATTTCAGGTCAGGATGGCCAATGGAGCTTCAGGATGCTGCAGTTGCGTGAGATCACCATCTCATCTTCCCTCTCCAGGTCGGCGACGTTCACGATGGGCTTGTAGGCCTTCTTTTTCTTCTTGGCAGGATTCATGTATGCCTACGAGGCACTGTTCAACAACAACAATGAGTTTTTATAGGGGAAGCTTGACCTCTGGCGGTCGATTTAACAGAATATTTGAATCTATGAAATATAATTTTAAATAAAATAATATTTTAATATAATGTATATATATAATTAAAAGGTTTATCATAGGTGAAGTTTTATCTTAGAGAACATCTTTGATATTTCTGTAAGTGTGATTAGCCTTTCTAACATTCCAGACGTCTGGAGAGCAGGAGAGCCAGAGGTGTTGACGTTGTCACACACGTGAGTACATTTTCTGGAAGAATTCCAAACCTTCCTCACTTTTTGCGTCATCAAATAAGTTTTTTTGAGATGTTGATACAGTAAAAATACGTTGAATTTATTTTAGTATCTCTAAATTTAATATAATTTTCTTAAATTGATATATATATGTTTGAAAATTGAGCAATTTATATATTCATTATTTTTAAAATGTTTATTTTGGATCATATCTTTTTTTATTTTCCAATATTTCGTATGTCAACACGCCAAATATCTTCGAAGAACAAGATTGTTTTGAGTTGAACATACTCGTGAATTGATACGCGAGCATCTCAATAAAATCAATATACAATACAATTTAATCAAATTCAATAAATATCAAAATACAATAAAATAAATTTAAATACCAATTTTATTTAATTGTGCTGATAAAAAAATATATATATGATATAATTCGAGAAAAGTAATACCTAACTTAAGAGGATTGAGGAACAAAGCAAATAAAATACAGTAGAACTTGGATAATTCGAACTTCTTTAATTCGAAAACCTCTTTATTTCGAATATTTATCTTGGTCCCTAGAATTCCCTATATAAATAATGTTAAAAAATCGTGGTTAATTCGAATTATGTCTTGGATAATTCGAACTTTTACGAGTTAAAATAAGGACCTGATGCCGGTTCAAGGCGTGAAATTTTGCGAAATGACGTTGTAATATTGTAACAACGAATTTGTTATTTTAATATTATTAATTATTTTCTTAACAGAGTTATCAATTTTTATGTTTATATTTTGCTACTCTGTAAATTTCCCTCATTGCTTATATTTTATTTGATCAATTATAGTTTGTCCTTGCCTTAAATAAATTGCTGTGTCACGCCGAAGTTTGTCTTTCCTAATTTTCCACGTGGCAAAATCTTGCCGCAAGAGAAGTACTATATATAATAAATTTATTTTTATTGGATTTTTGAGACTCCTTATTTATCAAGAAAGCTAAAAGGAGCGAATATGTCGGCGCTTCGAACATACAAAACTTTGATGTTGGCTGAAAAAATAGCGGCGATTAAAGAAGTAGAGATGGGGATGAAAAAAAAAATCCGATATTGCTAAGGACTTTGGGATTCCTCGAAACACGTTGTCGACGTACTTAAAAAATAAAGAAAAAATTCTCAGGAGTGAAAGTGAGTGTGATAAAGGCCGAAAAAGGTTAAGGGAGCCGGGAAATCCTGATTTGGACAAATGTGTTTTAAAATGGTTCAAGCAAGCAAGAGATAAGAAGATTCCCGTGAGTGGTCACCTTATAAGAGGCAAAGCTGAACAATTTGCTACTGAAATGGGGAAAACCGATTTTAAGGCGAGTTCTGGGTGGCTAGATGGCTTCAAAGAACGCAACAAAATTTCGTTCAAAACCATTTGTGGAGAAAGTGGGGCCGTTAATCTACAAGTAGCCGAACAATGGAAAAATAATTCACGGGAATTGATCCAGGATAAAGACGCTAGAAACGTCTTCAATGTTGATGAAACGGGTCTTTTTTTTTAATGCACCCCTGACAAAACGCTAGCTTTTAATCATGAAAAATGTCACGGGGGAAAACTAAGCAAAGAGAGAGTCACCCTCCTAGTTGGTGCAAATATGGATGGATCTGAAAAGCTTCCTCTATTGATGATAGGCAAAGGCAGCCAATCCACGTTGTTTCAAGAACGTCAAAACGAAGCCAGTGAACTATGCAAACAGCGCAAGAGCTTGGATGACTAGTTATCTTTTTGAGAAGTGGCTATTGAACTTGGACAAAATGTTCACAAAAGAAAAACGAAAAGTTATTTTATTTATCGATAACTGTACTGCACACAACTCAATCCCTCCAATGGAAAATGTGGAAGTTATTTTTTTTTCCTGCCAACATGACTTCGGTTATCCAGCCCATGGACAAGGGATTCATCAAAAATCTTAAGCATTTTTACAGACGGTTTCTAGTTGAGAACATATTGACAGGAGATTCCGAAGCCCTTAAAATCAAACTAGACGTTCTTCAAGCCTCTCGATTGTGTAAGAAAGCTTGGGACCAAGTAACGTCCGAAACGATCAAACACTGTTTTAAAAAAGCTGGTTTCGTAAAAAAGGAGGAGGATGAAGAAAATGCAGATGAGATTATAGCGGAAACGATGCCTTTGTTGACGGCTGGGAGGACGTCATTTCTAATCCTACCATCTCGTATGACGATTTCTTAAACGTGGATGACGATGTTGCAGTATGTGGTGAGATAACCGACGCAGATATCATCGCTGAAGTGCTCAACCACAACATTGAAAAACAAGACGGCGACGAGGCATCGGGTGATGAAGACGAGTCATCAGTTGCCGGGGAATTGAACGTTCCAAGTGCGGCCGAAGCAACGAACTATATCATGCAACTTAGACGCTTTTTTGAAAGTAAAAATGACGTAAGTCTCTCAATTTTCCACTCGTTGAATATGTTAGAATCCTTTGTCCTTACTGAAAGACTTAATTCTAGAAAACAGGCTAAGATTTCTGACTTCTTTGGCAAAAATTAAATTTCAGAGTTCCAACGAAGCAGAATAATCTGCACATTTTTTTAACCAGCAATCTGCCTTTTTTTTGTACATTTGAAATTTTTTAAAATGTATATAGTATATACATACAATTATTGCACATAATCTAAATATACGATAAAAATGTAAATTTACAGCAACTAATGTTATTCTTAATAAAGGAATTGATCGAAATTGTGAGATTTTTATTGTTTTAAGCCTTTTTATTCAAAACATCTTTAATTCGAATTTTTGGATAATTCGAATTTTTTTATGGTCCCTTGGGGTTCGAATTATCCAAGTTCGACTGTATTACATATTAACATATCTACAGAAAGATTTGAGCCAGCCAACGGGAAACAACAACAATGGGTTTATAGAGGGAAAACCGCGACATATTGCGGTCGACTTTACAGAGCTTGTTCTAAAATATAATTTAAAAAAATGAAATAAAAAATCTTTTATATAACATATATATTTTAAAATGTCGTTTTACAATCAACAGCCGCATTAAATTGTATTATAAATTACTTTATGTATTATTTACGAACGGAAAAATATGTCTAGGGTAGCCTAGTGGACATGGCATCTGCCCGGTAAGCGGAACACTGTGGGTTCGATTCCCATCCCTGGACCCTTTTATTTTCCGTTTATCATTACTCTTTACAATTCATCCTTTCATACCCATCCTTAAGGTTAGAAATAATCGTTATTTCTCCTTAAAATAAATTTTGATTTTTCATTGAAAAGAAACACATGCGGGGTAATTTTAAAATGTCGTTTTACAATCACAAGCCCCATCAAATTGTATTATAACATATATATGTCGATATACTGATAATTGATTATATATTTTCAGAGTCTCGTATTTTATTTGAAAATTTAAAAATACACAAATCAAATTTAAGAGTAAATAAGATACTGGATTAGTGTGGTAAATGAAGATGATGAATTTTCTAGTCGCATGCAACTGAATTTTGCTGATTGGTTATGTTATTTATCGGAATAAAGTGAAATGTGATTTATTTCAGAAAATTCGGTAAGAAAATAATTAATCCAACGTTCAATTTCTCTTTTTTCTCCACCAGTCCTTAGCACCTTTCACTTGCAAGATCATGTTTCTCTTTATTCATATTTCAAAATAGTAGGCAAAAAAAAGAATTATTAACTATTTTAATTCGTTAAAGGGAAAGAAACAAAATCTTGTCAAGTTTATAATTCAACTTTAAAATATTTATACACTATCATAAGTCCTAATGGTATCCGCTTTATTCGCACGCTGATTGGTTCTTTACAATCACATGACTATAATCAGCCAATAAACATTAAGTTCACTAGCTAATAAGCGCAAATTATGTCTAGTTCAATGGTTGCGCATTGAGAAATCTAGTAATATTCTATCAATTAGTATAATTTAAATAAGTTACTTTATTAAGATTAAATGACAAGCTTTCAAACGTTAGATTACTTCCTCGGCTTGGCACTGAGGAGTGTTCAAGAAGACGTTGTCTGGAGGAGGACTCTCTCAAGGTGGGGAAACCTTCCTTGCTGAAGATATTTGTACACAACTATATATATATTCCCCTAATTTTATCTACCCTTTATTTACTATTATATTATATACTAGCCGAATGACCCGGGCAACGCCCAGGTTTAACCCGATTAAATGTTTTTATTCAAATACTATTCGTTACAATTATAAATTGGCGCCGTGGATGTCACTCTTGTGAAACGCCCCGCTCCAAACTTTGTGTCAGAGAAGCGATTTTTTATAAAGAGATGATCTGGCTTTGTGTCTTCTGCTCGAATGAATGTTTTTCTGTTAGAATTTTGTTCCTGCACACTAAAAATGAACTGGCTTCATCCGTGGTCTCAGATTTTTGGAGTGTTTCCCGATATAATTTTGTATCTGATAATCAAACATGATACAGCAATATTGTCATCATCATTTTATGACTAAAAAAACAACTATTTTTGCCCAGAACCTGTCTATTTTATTTTTTATTGGCTAAAAATCCGATAAATATATTTTCCAGATTTTTCTCTATGTCCTGTCAAAACACGTTTTACATGTACATTAGGTCAGCTGATATTACCTCCCATCTTCACCGCTAGAGGCGCTGCTTGCGAGCGAAAAGGCAAATTTGCAACGCAATTTGCAAATAACTCGAAGAATATTCGGGATAGAGACCTGAAATTTTCGCTATAAGTTTTTCCAGATTCTACTCTATGTACTGTTAAAATTTCAGTCAGATTAGTTACGTATTGTGGACGTGTATAGCCGACATAGATACCCACATACACTGACTTTTATATATATAGGGATTTTTTCACTTTTGTTTAAATTGTCAATTGTTAAACGTTAGATTATCATCAAGCCAATTTTTTCACAAATACCTACAATATATATAGAGGTATTCATATAATAAATGCATATCCTGACCAAGCTCACATGAACATTTTAGATGACAGAGCGCCATCTTTTTATTAAAACATTTTAATTATTTTTTTTTTCATTTTTTATTTTGTTTATTATTTTTTTGTATTTTTCACATATATAGAGGTGTAAAGGAATAATTTATGCACATATTTATAAAAAAGGAAAAATATTGTATATATCTTTCTCTTCTTATACAAGAGTATTCTTAAAATTATATTTTGGGCGTTATAGTTAAGAACATCCGAAGAATGGCGTTATAAGAAAGCTTGAAAACTAGAGATATTAAAAATTATATACAGTAGAACCTCCATGTAAATGACACCTAATTGCAGAGCCAACGTGTTCTTTAGAGAGAGGTGTCGTCTTACCGGAGAGTTGCTAAATAGTAAAAATGGTAATTTTGCAAATGAAAACTGTCCTTTGTAGAGAAGTGTCCGCTAGCAGGGTATCCGCTAAAATAGAGTTCTACTGTATGAGAAACACATCCCCATGGATGAAATTTTTGTCAGAGAATATGTCGCAAGGTGTTATAATTTTTGAATACACAATTTCCGCTGCAAGCTAATGTGTGTGTGTGAACATAATGGTTTATTGCAAATGGTCAGGGGGCAACGTACTGAATTCTGTGACGTACATCCTGAACGGATCGTTTTGAAGACGGGTCTGTTGACTATCAGTAATCCTGCTGAATTCTTTAAAAGAAATGAATTTGGGAAAAACTATCAGTTCGGGGTGGTCAATGGGCAACGTAGGTGGTGTTATTCTAATTTAAAATAGATTTCTGCCATTCTATATAGGAATTCCCTGACGATAGAATCTTATGGGGGATCATCAATCTTAATGTTGTGATCACCATCCTTTTCTGAGTGATTAATGAAGTCCTTGAAGGTGTTCCAAAGGACCATCGAAAGCTCTTCAAGACAATATATCAAGATTGATTGAATTTGTCTTAATCGGGACGACCGCAATAAATAATGCGTGTGTGTGGACTTGCTTGTCATTGTATCAAAATTTCAGAATCCCATTGATGTAGGTTGACAAGGAAGAGATTGAGATGAAGGAAGAAGTTGGAGTAGGAAGTTATTGAAGGTGGCTCTGCTCCAATTACGTATCAAAGAAGAGGAGGATGGGTATCTGATAAAGCTATAAATATGGTCCTTCAGTTAGTGGCTGCTTTCAACCATCTACTTGGGATACAAATGTGGCGATTATTTTATACTGATGGAGGAATGCTGTTATAACAGTAGACCTTCAACAACTATGACCCGGGATCGAATCCCGCACTGTGTCTTTTTTTTTTTTATGTTGAAAAAAAAAATTTGCATCGATGTCCCCGATTTTTACAAAAGTCCAATCACACCAGTGAGATATATGTATATATGGATGGAAATTTTTCCGGGAGGAAATTGATCTATGAAAAAGAAATAAAGTACGCCCTAGGCTGACAACGTCCATTAGCCCGAAACCCGAAAAAGGTCTCTAGGTGGACGCTTCTCAGTTTGCCAAAGCTGGTGTTGTGTCTTTGTCACCTGGCGACGGTCTATAGATAGCGTCTAGTTTTTTGACGTTTAATTTGACGAGAGAGGTGTCCTATGCTTTCATATGATTATATATTAAATATAAAGTAATGTATCACATGAAAAGCGAATCCTATTTTTATACTAAACCTGTTTTACTTTTTATTTAGTAAAATAGTATTGCAATAAAATGTCAATATCTAGGAAAATCTACTTAACTTACAGAAGTCCAATCCCACCAGTAAACTTCAATAAGTTGAGTATACTTTGCCTAGATATTGACTTTTTATAGCAAGCTTTTTTTACTACGTATAAAGTAAAAAATATTTAGTATAAATATAAGATTCGTCTTTCATGGGATACATTAATACATATTTAGCTTATTGATTTCTCTACTAGAATAATCGGTGGAGAGGTGGTATAAACCGTTTATTTAGGATAGCTTCGACCCGGGATCCAATCCCGCATGGAACAATTTTTTTTTCTGAAAAGAAAATCACTTCAATGGTCTCAATTCTTGCAGAAGTTCCAACCACATCGGCGACCCCAAACGAGATTCAGGCATATTTGACGTAAAAAAAGTCGAATTGCTTCCTACATGTATAGACATTGTGGTATTCTTGCAGTAAATGACAGTATCTAACTAACTACCATGATCATCAATGGCCTGTATCACTCCTACTTGTGATAATTAGAAAATCTGCAATAATAATGGCGTTGATTATTTTTATTTCTGTCTTTAAAATCTTTCGAGGTATTTCCTTATAAATCAAAAATATACTCTATTACAAAATCAAACATTTCATTTATAATAATCTTAAAAATCGTTTTTCTTGATAAAGAGAATCTCCCCAAATTTTGTCGAATCAGGAATAAAAATATCATATAGCGTCATTAGTATTGTAGTAATTGAAATCAATACCTTAATAATTAACAAAGAAGAAATAAAAACTGACGGCGAAGAGTTTAATGAAAAGGTAAAAGTTTGATGAGCTTTCGGAAACGATGTCCATCGACAGAAGATGGATAGGAATACAAGAAACTAGAGGAGAAAGAAATGATTTATATTTTATGTATATTCCTTAGCTCAATTAAAGAAATCTCTGATCAAAACTATTTTTAGTAACATACTTTCAAGATTTTCAACCAAGACTGCATTACCATAGCATAATCCACAAGATAATCAAAAATCAACAGAAAATCTCATTTTTTAAATTTATAGCATATATATATATTAGATAGATTTTTGATTATCTTGTGGATTATGCTATAGTAATGCAGTCTTGGTTGAAAATCTTGAAAGTATATTACTAAAAATAGTTTTGATCAGAGATTTCTTTAATTAAGTTAAGGAATATACATAAAAAGCATAATTTGGTAAAAGTACTGCCTGGCTTAAAGCGTAAGAAAAAAAAAATGAAAACTTATTTACCTAATGTACAAAAGGTTTGAGCCGGCCATCGGGAAAGGAAATATCTTTATTTTACGGGGCTGCTAACCAAAATGAATCATTTTTGAGCCCCAAAGGCCATCGGAAAAGAGAAAATATCTTTATTTACGGGCTACTAACCAAAAGTTATGATTTTTGAGCCCAAAATCGATGTCAGGTGGCAAGGGACCCTAGGATGTGGAAGCAGGAGATGTCTCGCAGGGGTGGTGGAAACGTTGGGCAAGCAGG